GTGGCCTGGAGCGCCGCATATTTTTGTGGTCTTGGGATATTTTCTGGTGTCAGGCAGAAACTGAGTCATGAGCAGGCCTGGGGCTGCTTGAAAACCAAAGAAGATGTGATTTCTCTCCCTTTCACCTCATTAGTCATAGATAAAATCCACACAAGCTTGTGGTTTCAAGCTTCAGCTCAAGGGAAGATAACATTCTCTGGTGTGCCGATGAAGTCCAGGGCCCCGACAACATCAGAACGTGGTGCAAGTTCGGGAAAACCTCAAGGTCCCAAAGCAAACTCAACGAAGACAGCCAAGGGGGAAGCCGCAGCCTACTCCTCTGTGGAGTCCATCAACACAGCCCATTTTAGCTACACGAGAAACACGACCTCGGAGCAAGGAAAGGATATTCTTGAGAGACCCGGTTAATAATATAAATGTCCCCTGAGACTTTATTCAGTATGCCTGCCACTTTGGCTCTCTCTCTCTCTCTCTGAAAATCTGTCATTTTGCAATTAGCTCTTCCCATACTGTATTCGACAGCCCACATGTCTTGTCTGAAATCTTCATCAAAGAATCAAGGTGAGTTGCAGTTCCTTGCTGCGTTAGGACCCCTCTGTGCTGTGTTGGGACCCGGCTTCAGGGGAACATTCAGGGTTCTAGGACCTTACTCTCACCCGTGCCGGCAGGGCACCCGTCTGTCCCGTTCCGCTACAGTACAAGCCATTCTCCTGCGCTCCAAGCTGCTGAGATGCGCCGGCTGCTTCCTGGTGAGCTTTCTTGAGGGTGTGGGTCAGTGAGAGGAAGCACAACTGACAGGCGAAAGGCAGAGCCCGACCCCAGTGGACAGCCTTATTCAGACCCTTCGGGATTTTTTTTTTTTTTTTAGTGAGCTTCCTGGAAGAGAAAAAGGACTGAGTGACTTATGTGGTGAAGCTGTAGCCTTTCTAAAAAGTATAGTTTTAAAGTTCCGACTTTCCTTGTCTCCTTTCTACCTACCATTACTTCTTCTATCCCACCTCAGCATGATCATGGTAGCGGGCTGGATCCATCAGTCCAGCGGTCACAAGCAAACTGATTCTCCGCAGCGACCTGTCGAAGCAGTGGCCTGTGGACACAGGTACTTAATCAGTCGCATGAGATGTTCAGTACTTTATTGTGAAATGGGCTTCGTGTTGGATGACTCTGCTAAGGTGGTTGTCCCGAGGATGGCTGAGGAGGGGAGGCTGAGCGGGGCAGTTCAGTGGGTTAAATGTACTCAGTGAGATGTTTTTCTTTTGCAGCACCGAGGATTGGAACCCAGGCCTCTCACGTAGCAAACAATTACCTTTGAGCTCCACTCCCCCCGGCCCTTCCTATTTTTTTGTTATTTTGACACAGGGTCTCACTCAGTTGCCCAGGCCGACCTTGAACTTGTGATCCTTCTGCCTCAGCCTCCTGAGTGGCTGGACTGACAGGTGTGCATGCCTGTGCCCTGACTGTTTCACGCACTTATTTTTTCATTTATTTATTTTCAAGTTACGGGAGGTTTCTCAGGACCTGACCCCGTCGCAAGGTAAGAAGCATCTGCGTTTTCCCACGTTGGATGGGGGAGTCATTTAACCGTTCTGTGCCGGGATTTCCCTCTGCATAAACAATGACTGAAATAGCACTGCTGGCAGGTGGCTAGACAGTGAGGGGCCCGAGGGACAGAGGGAGTGTATGTCCAAATACCATGCATGGCCAGTTAAGTAACGAAGCAAAGGCTCCAATGTATAACACATTTATTATCATTCGTCAGGTGTCAGCTCCAAAGCCATCCCGTGGGCACAGGAGCATGAAGGTCGCACATCATGCTCCTTCCTTCTGATACCCGGCCTTACTAGTTCCAGAGCAAGGCCCACGGCATTCCTGGCTGCCCTGGCCTCCAGTCCAACGACATCAGGAGAGGAAATGTTCTTTAAAGACCTTCCTGCCTTAGGTCGGGGCCTGGTTTAAATTAAGGAGTTATCTTTTACAAGTTTCTCATACGATGAAAGCCCCTAAGAAAACACTGACTGTCTTAAAAGGACAGAAAGACTTTTGCATTTCCAAAGAAACGTCTAAGTAAAATGTCAATCAGCATTATAATGACTCTAGTTCCCTGAACCACAGGAATAATTCTTGTGTGCATAAAAAAGATATTCAAATTCACATCTGCTGCACATGGCTTCATGGCATTGCCCATCTTCTTGCTCAGAGGTGTAACTCTACACCTACCTCACAATAAACTCTACCTATGCCATCGCATGGCCACCTCTGTGTCTTCACTGAATTCTTTCAGCAAAGGAACAAAGACCTGAAGACCAAGGAAGTGAGGGGTCCGTTCCTTATTGGGTCAGGACCTGGCTTCCTGGTGACAAAGGGAACAGCCTCTACTCAACAGGACTGTCGCTCCAGGTAACACCTTCCCAAAAGAACCCAGAAGTCTGGAATCGCCCCTGTGCAGAACTTTCTCATATTTAAATATTGGCTATTCCTATTTTAAAGACATATTCACGTGACTAGGTAGGGGCTGTGCATGTGAGACCACCTTTGATATAATAACTGAGAAGAATCAAAAATTTAAATGTGCATTGTAATTATAACTGTGCTGGTCAGCTTTCTGTTACTATAACAAATACTGGGGGTAACCACAAAGAAAAGTTTTTTCTTGGCTCATGGATTTATTTATTTATTTATTGGTCTTTTTTGAGACAGGGTTTCGCTATGCAGTTCCGGGTGAGCTTGAGCTCACTTTGTAGCCCAGGCTGGTCTCAAACTCACAACAATCCTCCTGCCTCAGCCTCCCAAGTGCTGGGATTACAGGCGTGTGCCACCAAACCCAGCTGGTTCATGGATTTCGAGGGTCTAGTCTACGTTCTGTTGGCTCTGTTGGCTCTGTTGCTACCATGGTGGTAGACTATGGTGGGACAAAACTGCTCACCTAATGGCCAGGACCTTGGTGAGACACTTTTCCAAACCATAGGAACAAATTATGTTTACAAAAAGAACAGCTACTAAGGATTAAAGAGCTCACTGCAGGCCAAGCTCTACAAAAGTACTTAAAGATTCAAGTCACTTAATCTCACAGTGATGAGCATCAGGTAGAGGCCACCCTTTATGTTCCTCACATATGAAGAAACTGAGGCCCAGAGAAGCCAGTGATGGAGCCCAAAGTCACCTCTTTGGGAAGTGGCAGAACAGGGACTTGAACTCAGGTGGTCTGGCTCCAGGTGAAAAGTACTGTGCTTCTCTAAAAGGATGCATATCAGTGTTTGCACACAGTGACCTGTGGTGGGAGGAGCCTAGCGTGGTACTGTGAAGTTGAGGAATTATCACCAGCTAACTTCTCCTACCTCTGGGTCTTGGCAAGAGAAGAAGAGAGGGGGAGGGATTTCCTGCACAGGGTGGGGGTAGGGTGAGGACGGTGGACTGCAGGCCCTCAGGAAGAGTTGATGATGGGGCCCAAGAGGTGAAAGAGGAAACAGAGCAGATAAACTTCTCAGAAACTGCAAAGTAGGTCAGTGTCGTGGGCCAGGGGCTTCCTGGCCCTATACTTCATCTGAACCATGCCAGGGTCTCGGCTCCTGCCATAGCTCGAGCTTTTAATTCCTTCCCATCTTCTGTTCACCTCCATCTCTCCCTGTCTCCTTCTCCCTTTCCCTCCATCTCCTCCTTCCCTCTCCCTCTCCTTCCTTCTCCCTGATGTTCCTTGTCTTCATCCCTTCCCTCTTCCTCCTCCCCCTCCTAACCCTACATCTCCTCCTCCTCCTTCTCCTTTTGCCACCCTCTCTTTCTCTATCCCTTCCACCTGCCTTCTTCACCCACGTCCACTTCTTCCCCTTTGTCCTCCTCCTCCTCAAGGCTGCAAAGCCCCTGGTAGAATGACTTTTGGAGACTAAACTTAGCAAGAGGTTCCGTCCCCATGCGGAAGCTGGTGGCTGCCTGTGGCTTTTATAAATACACTGTCCCCGTACCTTGGTCTCCTCATCAAAGCCACGGAAACAGAAAGACTGTGATGAGAGTAAAGGAAACTCCAGTGGGTGCTGGGGCTGGGCACTTGGGGCCCTTCTACCTCCTACCAGCCCAGCGAGGGCAAGGCGATGGGAAACTTCCCTGGACTCTCCAGCCCTAGGTAGAGGGAGGTATCAGTGCCTCTGACAGGCCACAATGTCAGCACTTAAAAGCTGGGCCCTAATAGTTCCTTCCCAGGGTTTAGATATGATGATATACTGTATATGGTGAAACTTACACAGGGTGGCTGGTTTACGGGAACAGCCCCACAAATGTTAATATGGCTAATCTCTGACAGCTCTGCACACTTCTTGAGCTCTTACTGTACCACTTGCCAAAGTAAACAGGTTTTCCCATGCCTGATCTTTACAAGGAACCTCAGGAGTGAGTTGTCTCCCCTGCTCCATTTTACAGATGAGGAAACTGAAGCACTGAGCAGTGGTAGGACTTGCTTAAGGTCACACAGTGACTAAGTGGTAAGGTGGAAGCCGGGACCATCAACTCTGTATGTCATAACAATGGTGCCCACTACACCAACAATACCAGTGATGACAGATATTTCATCTCTTGTCCGAAGATTCTAGGAACTAAGACCTCTCTCCAGCCGCACTGCGGTGACGCCCATTTGCATAAGCCAGCGGATTTGAATGCATATCATTATCTGCCTCTTCCCAGGCTTTCTTCACTCCAAGCTTCCAGTGGCTCTGCAGACTGTCAGTCTGTTCTGGATGTGGCCAATAAGGTACCTTGTGGGCGGAGCCTCCACTTCCTTGGAGTTGTGGATGGGAGGGGAAGACAAAACTAGACATGAGGTTTACCCCAGGCTTCCTGCATGATCCGGGCTCCTCACCTGTAAGACGACCTCAGTGGGGCCATCCCTCTGCCTCTGTGAGCCACTGCCTCTGGTCTCTTGTCCCCTACCCTTCTTCACGGGGATTTTGGGGCCTGCACACCACATCCCACCTTCCTTCGCCAATTTCTTTCCACAAGAACTAGACAGACCCGAGTGCAACTGTTTGTTGTTTATTTCAAAGGCCAGTGGTCGAGGGGCCCTCGGGCCGCAGGCAAGGTCTAGTCCTAAGCCAGGATGTGTCGGTCCTGGCTGGGAAGGACCCTCAGGCCCGGTGTATGAGATGTTTGTCATTGTGACCCCACGTGGGTCACCAGTTCTGACAGTGACCTGGTGTGTGGAAGTCCACAGTGGTGAGCGTGAGCAAATGTGCCTCTGACCCCCTGGGAGGGTGGCTGGGGGTGTTTGGTGCCACCTGTGAGCTGTGTGTGCCGTTTCCTGTGATGGTCATGGATTCTCCGTGACAAGGCAGGTGTGACTGTCGAGTCATCCTTCGCTCCTTTCGTACCCTCAGCAAGCACTTCCTGTGTGGCAGGGGCATGGCAGCGGCACCCCCGTGGGCTGGGTGTGCCCAGCAGTGACAAGACACGGCCAACGGGCTGAGGCCACCTCGGCAGCTGGAAATCCACCACGGTGGGACCGTGTACACCATGGTCCCCAGGGAAGGTCCACGCCACACAGCCATGAGGCTTCACTGTGGTTGTACATGGCACTGGGCCAGGCTCTGCACGTGGACCGGCCCTGATGACAAACGTGCCCCTGGCCCTGCTTGTGACAGACAGTAGGGAGAGCCACACGGTTGCCAGTCTCCAACCCAAATCCCTGGAATCCCACTTTCTTTGGGAAGAAAAGTATAAATACCCGTCCCTCATCCCGTCTTCCTGAATATCAGGCAAATCAGCCGGATGTCACACTCGAGGGTCTAGAGACCCCCAAGTCTCCAGTGTCCCTGCTCCAGGTCTTTGTCAGTAGAATCGTCCATGGCAAGGTCTGAAGCTGGGGGGCGGGCCCCTCAAAAGGGCCTGCTGGGTCTTCAGCCACTCAAGGTGTTGAGATCATGGTCCCAGGAGGTGTCCACCCAGCTGTCCACCTGCCAGGTTTTGAGCTCCCTGGGAGGCCCCCCCAAGATCTCCGTGGCCAGATTGCCCGTCCACTGCGGGACCTCTGAGGTGTCTCCTTCCGCATCTCTCCTTCCTCACACCATGAAAGCGCCGAAGTAGGACCGAGTACCATCGCGCAGGCGGACCAGACGCTCATCGGGCACCCGGACGATCACCTCCTCTCCCACCTCCAGGTGCACCACGCCGCCCAGGAAGCTGCTGTCCCACCAGACGCGGGAGCTGTTTGCCCGTCCACAGGGTGACCGCCGGCTGACCAGCAGCTCCAGCTCCTCGGGGTAGCGGGGCGTGCGCTTGTAGAGCCCGTGGGTGACCGGGAGGCCGCTGGCCAGCCCCTGGGGACAGCCCACACCACCCAGCTGCACTTTCGAGTAGATGTAATAGTAGCCGGCCTTGGTGGTCACCAGGGCCCCATTGCGGTAGCTGAGGCCCCTCAGGAAGGCCAGGCCCAGCTGGGACTCCCACAGCAGGGGGCCGCCACTGCCCGTCAAGCTGGAGTTGGCTCCTGAGGGGGGAGAGAAAGAGAAACGGATCCACTCGGGTCTCCTTCCTGCTGTGTGACCCGAGGCTGGTCATCAGCACTTTCTGACCCTCTGCTTCTATGCTAGGCTGTGTCTATGGATAGTTACTATATTCCTGCTTTGTGGATGGGGCAACTGAGGCACAGGGCAGCAAGGTGACTTGGGTATTATGTTTTTGTTTTTGTTTTGGGAGGATAGCAGGAATCGAATTCAGTTCCTCATGCTTGCCAGGCAGGTGCTGCATCGCTGAGCTATATCCCAGCACCTTGTATTATGTTAACTTATTTTACCCACATTTTCACCACCAGTGGAGAGACAAAGCAACTGGACCACCAAAGGAGAAACTAAGGCACGGTGTGATGAAGTGGTCGGAGGAAATGTCAGATCCTGAGAGCTGCTACATCAAAGGACCCAGGCAGAACAGACCCTGGTGCCAGCAGCCAGGGAACCCCTGTGTGGCTCGGCTTCTTGCTCTGCAATACGGAGCTAGTAGAAGTCCCTGCCTAGGACTGCATGAGATTCACAGGTACCAACCATACCAGGGCAAGACACAAAGCACTGGAGAAGTGTTCAGTGAATAAAATTAGAAACACACAAGTGCCTCCTTATTTGTGGTTTCAGTTGTCATGGGCTCACCACGCTACAGAAACATCGAATGGAAAATTCCAAATCAAAAGCTCATATTTTAAATGACTTGTATGGCAATACAGTGCCATGAGTATTCTATTTTGTTATAAATTATTGTTAATCTCTCCTTGCACTTAATAAGTTGAGCTTTATCATGGGTATGTATGTGCAGGGAAAAATATAGTATACCCAGGACCTGTTACTCTCTGTGGTTTCAGGAATCTTGGGATATATGCCCCATGAATAATGAGAACTAGTTTTTGTAGCTACAAGAGCCTGTGTGCACCAGGCAACTCTATGGATCAAAATATATAGTGCATGTTTAAATTTTAAAAGTATATTACAATAGCCAGGCGTGGTGGTGCACGCCTGTAGTCCCAGCACTCGGGAGGCTGAGGCAGGAGGATCATTGCGAGTTCGAGACCGGCCTGGGCTACAAAGTGAGCTCAGGATCGGCCTGAACGGCATAGCGAGACCCTGTCTCAAAAAAAAAAAAAAACAAAAAAAAGTATATCACAATAAAAACACACTGTCATTAATCCTCTTCAAACTCGTCCCCCTCACTTCAAGTACACATATTCCACTGTTCTGGCCACTCCCCGAAGCAGTTCTGGAGTCCTCTTTCACGAGTGTCTTTACAAGGCAGGATCAAAAGCACAAGGAATCCTGCCGCCGAGTGCCACCCAGCAGAAAGGCTCATAAAAACGTCACGATGTCCTCGTCCACCTCATTCACGGGATCTGGCGCCGTGTGACTTCTGGCGCTTCTCCAAAACCAAAGTGATCGTGAAAGGTGAACATATTGAATTGATTCAGGCCATGGAGGCAGCCCTGAGAGCACAACCCCAGTCAGTCACAAAGGACTTCCAGCCCCGCTTCCGAAAGTGGCAGGAACAGTGGAAGACGTGTGTTTGAAGTGAGCAGGGGTGTTCTGAGAGGGATTCGCGGCAATCTGTCTTTCACTGTAACACACTTTTTAAACATTTTTAACGTCTTCCATAGTTTTAGATCACGTTGCCTAGTGCATGAAGGAATGAATAAATGCTCCGCACATCACGGCACTGTCTGATCCCCAGGGCCCCTGCCCCTGCCCATGCCGGGACCCGGGGGCCCTCTCACCTGTAAGGTGCGCTGCTGGGTTGGTCTGGTGGGATCTCCGCTCTGGGGAGAGAGGGTCAGAGGTCAGAGACAAAGACAGTGAAGCATAGGGGTCAGCCCCTACGGGGTCATCTTGTCTACCTCCCAGTGTCGGTCCCACCCCTTCCAAAGAGACCCGAACTTCTGCTTCTCAGGCAGGAGGGCTGGGGAGGGGCACCTGTGGGCTTGGGGCATTGCACAACCACGTTGAGCAACAGGCAGAGGGGTGGGGGCGCGTGGGAACCGTGCCCCTCCTCCTTAGGGACCTGGACTCTGACTCACCTTGTACGGACTTCTCCCAGGACCCTGCATCTTGGTCCTAAAATGCAGAAGGAGCCCACGGTGAGGACCTGCCACACCCCTGCTCCAGGCACATGGTGATGAGACAGCCAGACCATGGCCACAAACACCAGCGTCGGACACACACACAGAGCCACATGCCTGTGTACACACACACAAACCCACACGCGCACTCCCTTGCGCAACGCTCAGCAGCCCAAACAAGCGTGGTTCTCTGCATAGGCAGAGTTACGAACACCGCCTGCAATGGACTTAATGAATTATTATGTGTAAAGTGTGTTATAGTCCCTGGTCCATAGAAATGTTCATTAAATAAGTTGTACAGGTGATGACTTCTACCCAAAATGCTTGGGACCAGAAATACTTCAGATCTGAGGGTTGGATTGGGGAACATTTGCATACATTTTATCATTGAGCATCTCTTATCTGAAAATCCCAAATCCAGAATGGTCCAAAAATGAAACTTTTTTTTTTTTTTGGCAGTACTGGGTATTATACCCAGGGCACTCGCACTGGGCTGTATCTCCAGCCCTTTATAAATTTTAAAATTCTGAGACAAGCTCTTGCTAAATCATTAAGTTACTTCCTAGGGACTAGAACTTGCAATCCTCCTGCCTCAGCCTCCCAGACTGCTGAGATTACAGGCCTGTACCTCTGTGCCCAGCTCAAAATCTGAAACTTTTTGAGTGGCATGTCTGGTCTCAAGGAGATTTTGCAGCATTGAAGATTTCAGATTTAGGAGTTTGGGGTTTGGAACTACACAGGCACCCGGATGGCTGCACACACGGACACCAACTTGTATTTGTGGCACACGGCACAGACCTAACGCTTAGTGGCAGGCTGAAGAGATGCACGTGGATGCAGACACCCGGGAACAAGGTTTAGGGACCCATGTGGGTTCTCAGGCACAGACCCAGGGACAGAGACCCGCAGCACTGGCGCGTGGGGTGTCACGGGTGAGTACGTGGGCAGGGGGGACCCAGCACAGGACATGTGGCCACCAGAACTGGATACGAGGAGACAGAACGTGGTGACCAGGACACCAAAGGGCAAGGCCACACGTGCACATCGCAGGACATACAGACCCACAAGTGTGGCACGTGGCCAGGCTGTCCACAAAGACAGCCAGCTGTGCAGCGAGAATCCCAGGAGCAGGACCAGGCAGGCATGGTTAACCACGGCAGCAACGTGGGGACTTCGCTTTCAAATGGTTAAGCACCTGCCTTGGGCCGGCCACCGCCCAGCACCCTGCGCACCTCCATCAGTCACACTTCGTTCTCTAGAAAGTGGTCACTCCTTTCTTCTCTCTCTCTCTTTCTTTCAGTACTGCGGATTGAACCCAGGGCCTTCACACGGAGCTGCATCCCCAGCCTTTTTTGTTTTTGAGACAGGGTTTCGCTAAGTCACTAAGTTCCCCGGTCTAGACTGGAACTTGCGATCCTCCTGACTCAACCTCCCAGGCGGCTGGGATCAGGCTGTACTCACTCTTACTGTCATCCCCATCTTATAGATGAGGAGACTGAAGTCCAGAGAGACTGGTGGGCTGGCAGCAGCAAGTCAGAGGTCAGGCTGGACGCTGCCTGTCTGTCCTGCAAACACACAGACGCACGGACACACAGGGACACAGAATGGCGCAGGAGGCAGCCCCGGGCCCCACTCACCGGCAGGCGGGCCACCATCTCCTCCAGACGCCAGTACAGCTGCAGCAAGAACCAGCCCTGGGCAGCCAGTGCAGCCCCCAGGAGCAGCAGCAGGAGCCCGAGGCCCACCCGGGCAGGGCTGCAGCACCTTTGCTTGCGGCTGGGCCCCAGCCTCCTGAACGGGATGTCCGTCTGTCCTTCCACCACAAACACCGAGGGCCGCACAGCCGTGTCCTCCATGCCCCAGCAGATGGGGCCCCGGCGCCTGAGCTCTGGGGCTCAGAGGAAACCGCAGTTGCCCAACGCTCTGGGCTTTGCGCGCTGCAGAAGGGCCCTGCGCCCCGCAGCCGCTTTTAGAGCTGGGGTTCGGCCCCTCCCCTTTCCCCAGGCGCCCTCCTCCCCTTCCTGTGCCCCCACTGGGGCCCCGTGCATCTCACTCTCACTCTTTCCAGAACCGCCTGGAAATGTGACTCGGAGCGGATGGGAGCGGGGCGGCCCCAGCTTTCTCCCCGCGGCTGCTGGGCCTGCCGGGGCGCCCAGGGTTTTCGAGGAGCCCAGACACAGGCCGCGCACTGTCCTGATCTGAGGACACAGCAAGGAGCAGGACAGACTCCGTCTCCAGTTCTGGCGGCTCCGGTTCTACCTGGATGACAGGGACACGGACCCGAAGGACAAGAAGAGAACAGGTGCCGTTTCCATGGTGCTGAGGGCAGTGCAGAGTTGGAGAGGAGGAAGGGGTTGCGGTGTGCGTGTGTGTCTGTGTGTGCACATTCAGGTGGTGTGCAGGTGTGCACTGTCCCGGTGTGAGCACGCATACACGTGTCCATGCGTACATGCATACATGTGCGGGGTGCATTCAGATGTGTGCGTGCATGGGTGTGTGTGTGTCCGTCAGCAGGTGCACAGTACATGGATATGCAATATGTACACACATGTGGCCCATGCAATCATGTGCACGTGTGTATATGTGCAGCTGTCTGAGCATGTGTGTATGTGTGTGTGTGTGTGTGTGCACGCATGCCTGCCTAGATGTTCACAAATTTATGTGGGTACTGCAGGTTGAACCCAGGGCCCTCTCACTGAGCTGCATTCCCAGCCCTTCTTTTAATTTTTAATTCCGAGACAGGCTCTGCCTCAGTCACTGGGCTCACAACGAGGCCTTCATGTCTCAGCCTCCACAGTGCTGGGATTGCAGGCATGTGACGCCACACCCAGCTCTAAGATTGGAACTGCTAGTTGGGAGTGGAACCACTGTCTACCCAGCTAACCAAACCCAAGACGTGGGGGCACCCTGGCCTTCTCCCTCTGTCTTCTCCCCTACATTCCACCTGTCACCCTCCTAACAACGTTAAATTTGCCCTCACAGCCTCCTGTGATCCCCAGCCAATTGCCTTGGGAGCTGGTGGAACCTTGAAGTAGGGTTAGTGGGAAGAAGTGAGTTTAGTAGGAGCACAGGATGGAAGGAGGATTCTGTCCCCAGCTGCCCCCGTCCCCCATCTCACTGCAGGTCCCCTGAGGTGAGGAGCTTTGCTCTGCCACCCTTGTGCCAGGATGTTCAACCTCACCACGGGCCCAAAGCTGCCTGGCGGAAACCGTAACACTGTGAGACCGAGAGCGAAACTAAATCTTTTCTCCTTTTTATTTTATTTTATTATTTATTTTATGATACGCAGGCTAGAACCCAGGGCCTTGGCACCGAGCTACGTTATTTTTTCTTTTGAGACGAGCTCATGCTAAATCACTAAGCTGTCCAGGCTGAGGTCAAACTTGCAACTCCTGCCTCAGGCTCCCAGAACTCTGGGACGACAGAGGTGCGCTATGTAAACCTCCAGGACAGCCAGCATCACCCCGTGGCTTCAGATCCCCCAGCGACTTCCCGTTTGAGAGGACAGCGGCTGGCAGCTCGCAGGCATGGGCTACGCCAGCTGCCCCTCTTTCTATGCAGTCACGGAAGCAGCTCCAGGGGCTGGCACTTCGTGAGATCTGGAGATCACTCTGTCCTCGACGCCCTTCCATCCCCGGTGCCTACCTCTCTGGCCAGCTGGTGGCCACGGCCCCGCCACTGCCCAGGGCCTGTGCTGGGCATGGAGACAGCCTGCCAGGATTTGGGTGTCCCTGCAGCAAAGGAGGAAGTTGACACGGGGTCCCCTCGGCCCCTCCAACCTTCCTGACCCGCAGGCAGAGCCCTCTTGAGCAAGTTGTTCTTCACCCAGCGGCCAAACACAGCCTCCTGCGGCCCGCGCGACTTCCCACCAGGGCGCAGCCACCTCGCTCCTCCCTGGCCCCACAGGACCTGCCTCAGATCCCTCAAAGCTGACACCAGCCACCGTCTGGCCCTGGGTAGGAGCAGATGTCCAGGGGGCTGCGCCTGCGTCTCCACTGCCCTTAGCGCCTTGTCCCATGTGTTGCTCTGCGCTCAGCACATAGAAGCCAGGAACAGGCTCCGAGGCGGCTCCTCCAGGTCACTTAGACCTGGACACAAGATGGACAGAGACACAGGGTCGCAGAAGCAGAGACAAGGAGGGAACGAAGGGCCTGCCAGAGGCAGGGAGCCTGGCTTACTGGTTTATTTTAAGGCACTGACTCACACATGATGGGTGTCGAGCATGGACAAAGCCAGCAGCCCAAGACACATTCCAGCAAGAGCTGGTGTTGCAGTGTGATCAAAAGGCTGGAAACTGAGGCAGAGTTTTCCACACTGAGGTCTTTTTTTTTTTGTATCAGGAATTGAACTCAGGACCTCACGCTTGCCAGGCAGGTGCTGCACCACTGAGCTACATACCCAGCCCCCACCACACTGAAGTCTTGAGGCAGAGCCCCCTCCCCACTGCCTGCCATTCAGGAACTTCAGCCTTTGCCCCTCTTTATTTATTTCATCTTGCTGAGGATTAACCCCAGAGCCTTCACACCCTAGGCATGTGCTCTACCACTGAGCTACATTCCCAGCCCTTTTGATTTTGATTTTGAGACAGGCTCTTGCTAAGTTGCCCTGTCTGACTTGAACTTGTGATCCTCCTGCCTCAGCCTCCCAGGTAGTGGGATTATAGGCACCACTGAGCCCAGCTTCCACACTGTCTTGTGAATATTGTTTTCTGTTCCCCTTTTATAACTTCGGGTTAAGATCCTGTCCGAACTGACCAGAACCTAGAGCTGCAGATGAGTAAAATCACAACCCAAAACCCCCAGAGGCCCCTGCCTGTTAAAGCACTGATATAATAAATCCCAAATCAGAGAAAGGGAAAGACAGCAAGAAAATGAGAATGAGAAGGACATGAAAGTGGGGCAGGGGGACCCGGCAGGTGGGGGGATACCCTATGACGAATGAAGAATGAAGCATCTGGGGGCTTCCCTGGAGAAGAGCCCGCGGCATTTGGGAGCTGCAGAAAAGGGGTGGGCTGTGACTTGATATCCCCTACATTCCCAGAGTTGGGAGGTGGGGCTTTCCAGGCCTGGAGGTCTTAGGGGAAGGCGCTGTGCCCCCTGACTTTCCGGTAAGGGGGGTGGGGCTTCCCCATGACCTCATCCCCAGCCAGAAGCCCGGGTCCCACCCTCAGCACAAGCGCCCTCCCAGACTCCAAGGGACCACAGGCGCCTTCAGAAGAGATACTTTCAAGCCAGGCGTCGTGGCGCACACCTGTCATCCCAGCACTCTGAGAGGCTGAGTCAGGAAGATCCCAAGTTCCAGGCCAATCTAGGCAAATGAGTAAAACCCTGTCTCAAACAAACAAACAAACAAACTCCAGCTGTAGGACCCCTCCCGCTGAGCAGCAGTGGCTTCCCGCCCCACGCTGTGGCGGCTCCTCCCACGCAGGCCTGTGGTGATGCGACCACAGACACCTCGCCCTCTCCCAGTGCTGACTCATCTTCCCCTCCAGGCTCCAGCCGGAAATGCCGCCTGCCCCTCCCTGCCTGCAGGCCTTGGCGCCCCCTCCCGGCGGCAGCCGCGAGACCCCCCCACCCCCACCCCGCTCCCTCCGTGCTCTCTCAAGTGAGGCCTGAGAGTGAGTGGGAGCAGGGCAGGCGGAAGGCAGGTGAGGCGGGAAACCCAGGGAGAGGGAGCTGCAGGGCACACAGCACCCGCGGGGGGCCGGAGGGCTCGGCGGAGGAGGCGGAGTACACATGCAGGTGAGAAGAGAGGTGGAAAGCCCGGCGTGGTGCTGGACACCTGTCACCCCCGCAGGGCATCTGGGAGGGTGTGGCAGGAGGGTGGCAAGCTCCAGGCCAGCCTGGGCAATTCGGCACCTCGGCTAGACCCAGTCTCAAAATGCACAATAAAAAGAGCTGGAGATGCAGGTCAGTGGGAAGGCCCTGGGCTCAGTCTCTGGTACCAGGGGGAAAAAGATACAGGTAAGCTGCCAGGTCAAGATGTACATGGTAGGCGAGGTGAGGATCAGTGACACAGCTGAGGGTGCAAATAAAGAGAAGGTGCAGATTCCGATGAGGCAATCGGTAGACACAGGTGAGCCAGCACTGAGAAGTAGGTGGGGGGGTGGGGGGCAGCGAACTGCTCATGAGGGCAGGCGTGAGGATGGAGGTGAGGATGGAGGTGAGGATGGAGGATGGAGGTGAGGATGGAGGTGAGGACGTAGGTGAGGATGGAGGTGAGGATGGAGGTGAGGATGGAGGTGAGGATGGAGGATGGAGGTGAGGATGGAGGATTGGAGGTGAGGATGGAGGATGGAGGTGAGGATGGAGGTGAGGATGGAGGATGGAGGTGAGGATGGAGGTGAGGATGGAGGATGGAGGTGAGGATGCAGGTGAGTTTGGAGGTAAGGTTGGAGGTGAGAATGGAGGTGGAG